AATAGATTCAATAAGTTTGACAAATAACCAGTTTAAGGGGACTTTAATTTTCCTGTTTTTATTTTAATAGCTTTTAATTCTGCTCTGCCCCAGATATACCTTAAGAATGACACATCACAAAATCAGTTGGTAGTAGTATATTTCATTGAGATAACTCACACTTAAATATACATATAAGTGTGTGTTTCAACCTAAATTCTCCTGTTTCAAGATACAAAAATCTAAGTATCACTGCTTCAGGATATATATAATGTATTACTATACACACATATACAAGAAGAAGAAGAAGAAAGAATTTGCACTACCTGATTGGAAATGCTGACATTTCTGTGTAAGTATACTAGTTTCAACAAAGCATGTTAAATACAAATTAAAGCATTAATCCTAATGATAATTGGGTAGCCATCTACAAATTTTTATCAGTACAAAAAATTCCCAGCAAAGCTTTTCAAAAAGCACTAGGTATATGTTAGAATATCTGATTACTTTCTAGATTTACAATTAGGGTTTGAAAATCGATACCTTTAAATCTGCTTTATTTGTACTTTTATTATGTACATGAATACAATATACATGTGTACAAGATCAGCAGTAGAGTAATACAAAAATTACCAATACTGCATGTTAAAGATGGTCTTTCCTGCAAAACAGTGAGCATATCAATCTTACAAAAAAAAAGTTTAACATTTGATCCATGTAAAAACTTGTTATTTAAATTTTCCAAAATATATTTTTTGCATATCCTGTTTTACAACTATCAACCTTCTAGCTATGACAAGCCTTAATTCTTCTCTACGACAGCTAAAAAAATATCTTATTTAGAACATTTTGCTATAGAATAGAATACAAGGTTATCATAGCTATATTCAAATCTGATCACCTCTTATAACAACAACACAATTGTAGAAGTTCCTTAAAAGATGGTAAGAATAAATAATTGTCACTGAAAAGTAAATATGAAGGTGTTTCAGAAAAAAAGGCAATACTCTCTCATTAAGGCTTTGTGCACTTGTGATGCTAATGAACAACATGGCCTCACAGTTGTCAGTGAGCACCAGAGGAAAGCAGTAGTCTGTGATTCAGTTTTTTAATTCATTACTTTTCAGATATGCAATATAAAATACAAAAAGTACATCAGGCACTAGAATATAATGTCTCAAAACTATTATAATTTACCTGCCTTTCTAACTAAGCAATAAATAGGTTAAAGAAGTTCCATTACTGCTTAGAGCATATTCTTTATTCAACACACAGCAAGCTTTTCTTGCAAACTTCCTATACTGACACCGAAAACTAAACAACAGAATATAAGATTCCCTTACATTATAAATATGCTATTTCTGTTGGTTATGAGCATTTCCACCATACAAGTAGATATGAGTGAATAACTGACTTGAACTGCAGGAGGTGCTTTTCTGGTAAGTTGGACAAATTTATTGAAATTTCAGATCAAAGATATTTCTAGTCTATTTTTTTACACTTTTCACCATTTTTTGAAAAATAGATATTTACTACTTTAAAATGCCTACTTTCAGCTTCTGCAACAACATATCCTTCAAATGGTATTGAAAATCGTAATCCTGAACTGAAAATTACAATCTTCCCATAGCAATCACCCTAGCAATGGAATTCATGGCAATTTATAACCTCTTTGGTGATAATTTTCTCAATTGTTTTGACACAAACTCAATGCAAAACATGGGGGTATAAAAAGTTACACCCTTACTATAAGAGGTCTGTAATTGAAGGGTTGATTTGTAGTGTTGAAAATAAATACATTTTTTGTTTTTCTTCTGTGATAGTTTGACATTTGTGGTGTTAGGTTCATGCTTTTCCTCTCTTCTTAAGCTTTAAATTTATGTATAATTTAGTTGGGTAGTGTTATTTGTTTTAAGATATTGTCTTTTTAGATACTCTGAATCTGAGCTTATTAATATGCACATACTAATGAAATAATTTGCATAATTAATTGGAAGAAATTATTTTGTGTTACTTTCAAAGTTTGTCCTACAGTCCAAAACTAGTAATGCATACATCAATGGGCTGTAAGCACCTTAAATTTTACATTCTTCCTTGTCAATATGTTTAGTTTGTGTTTCTAATTGGTTATGCACTGTAGAAGCTATACTATAAAAGTTATGAGATCAGAGTGTAGATATGTCACATGACACAGAAAAGCAAAGAATGAGTACTTTTTAAATTAAGAAATTAAAGTTAGATAATATTAAAATTTGAATTATGAACTGCATTTTGATGCCAAGTTTATTGATATAAATTGGTGATAAATTATCTTAATTAAATTTTGATTGTAACTTTGTAAAAGTTCCTGATATGTGCACTTTGATCCACCCAAATGCATAGGGTTAATGAAGTTGGCATAAGTGCAGGCAGTATCCATGGCATTGTCCACAATCACATGAACTTCTGGAAAGTATGTGCTCATTGGGTCCCAAACAATTGACAGACATCCATAAACAGAATTGTGCAGACATATGTATCCAGATTTCGCAACGTTACCAAGGTGAAGTTTTCACTGGTGATCAAACGTGAGTGAATCATTTTGTCACAGAAAGCAAAAGACAGAGCATGCAGTGAAAACATTCAGATTCACAATCTGCCAAAAAATTCAAAACACTATCATAGCATCCCACTGGTAAGATCATATAGATCTTGTTTTGGGACTCCCAGGGACCTATTTTAGCCCATTTCATGAAGCATTGGGTCACAATCACTTATTTTATTTATGAATTGCCTTTACTTTCTGAAATATCCTAATCCACTACAAACTACTACCTCAGATCAATTCTGAGCTATTAGAAAAGGTAAGAGAAGTAATTTAGCATTATTACTTGGTGTTTTTGAGTAATTACTATACTCGTATAAAAAAGTTATTGCTGGTATCTCTTTCTAGTTAACTTTGAAAACATCTTTCTAAGGTGACTTCTTCATTTGGACAACATCACTTAGTTCTTCCTGTATAGGTTCTCTACCTATAAAATATCACTTAATTCTTCCTGGATAGATTTCCTATATGGACAATATATTATTAAATTTTTCTGGAATAACTTCTCTGCTTATGCAGTACTACTAGCTGAATTCTTCCTGAGTAACTTCTGTATTGTTAACTTAAATAATAAAATATTTTAAGCTCTTCCTTGGTGAAACTTCTTTTACTCAGACATTACATATATGCAGTTCTCCATGGGTAACTGAAATAAAGATGTATAAAACACTGTCACTTGAGATTCAGGTGACTGTATTCAATGAGCAGACTTGAACTGACCATTTTTACCTAGAATTTTTGTAAACAAAAAAATAAGGGTGTATTAATTGAACCAAAGATAAAAATAAGTTTATTTTACTTAAGAAAAACTTTTTACTTTCAATTTACGCCCTAATGATCTAAAAATGTAAAAAATGTTATTAGAAAGTAAAAAGGAAAATAAGTAGGTATGAATGAATATACATATATATATATATATATACTTTACTTTATTGTACAAAACAAATTAAACCTTTGAAAATATGACATGATATTTATAGTTTTCCATAGGATATAAAAACAAAACAAAAAAGATACTTAAAAATTATTTCAAATTCCTCTAAGTGATAAAGCAATGGCCCAAAAAAAGAAAGAAAAAAAGACGTATCTGAAACAATAGTTAACGTGCATTTTTTGAAAAATTCATACAATTTAAAAAAAATAATACTTTCTTTATGCTGTATGTTATAAATTCAATGAAATTACGTTCAAAGTTTAATTTCTTGCTGTCTTCCCAAAATCAGAAAATTTTCAAAGTGGAATGTTAATATATTAATTTCATACAAGCAAGTAGGTTAATATTTAGAACTATACATGGACATTTCTGTACATTAAATTACTTTTAGTTGCAAACTTTCGGCCCTCTTACAAAAATGTACAATGTTGCCCAACGAAGGCTCCAGTAAGAGGACCAAAAACTTGCAAATACAAGAAAAGTATTTTAACATAGATAAAAGTCAGTGTATAATTCTATATATTAATTGACCTATCTTATGAGTTTTAAAAAACAAATAAGTTGTAGTTATTTCATTATTTTTTAATATATAAATTCAAAAACCCATTAAGGATTTGAAAAAATTTGTTATATATATTTTCTAATCAACTAGCTTGAATCTTTGGTTAAGTCTGCCTCAAGTAAATGTGGGCTGGACCCTTCATGCTTTTTTAAAAATATTTACAACATGAGCTGTACAGATATTTACAATGAGAATAGGCACAATATACAGACAATTCTTCTATCTTTTTCATAAATTTCGATACTGTAATCTCTACTATATTAATTTCTCTTCACTTTTGATAATCCTCTGTACACATTCATACTTCATTACATCCTTCTTTGTAACTTTCAATATTTTATACTTTCTCTTATAAAATCTAATATTTTCTCTCAGTTATACACATTTAGTTTTCTGTTCTTTTCGAAACCTTAAATATGTTTTCAAACACTTGATATTTACCTTTAGTTTGCAGTATTTAATGTTTTCTCATTTTTTCAATATTTGATACATATATTTTTTATTGGATATGTTATCTTTTTCCTAATATTTTATACACTTTATTCTTATTCATATTTTTAATCATTTCTCTTTTTAGTGTTTCAATCTTTCTTATACTTTCAAATATTTCATATTTTTCTTTCTCAATATCTGACATTTTCTCATACATTTAGTATTTCACAATTTCTTTCAATACCTGGCACTTTCTCTTAGTTTCAATATTTCATACTTTTATAGCATCTCACACTTTTTTCTTCTATCAATATTTGACACTATTATTTTCAATAGTTCATACTTTTCCTTATTCAATAATTGAGACACTGTCACTTTCAATACTTAATATTTTTCAATATTTATCACTTTGTCTTATTTTCACAATTTCATGCTTTCTTTTCTTTCAGTATTTGAGGTTTTTTCTTAATTTCAATACCTGACACTTTCTTTTATTTCAAAAAGCTGATATTATTTTCTTTTGTTTGAATACTTATGTTTTCTCTAATTTTTCAATGTTATACCTTATTTTAGTTTTTAATATTTGACACTTTGCTATTTTTCTATATGGTTCTTTACAAAATTTGAATATTTGCTTTATAAAATTTCAATATTTTCTATCTGCAAATCATCATTATTTTACAACTTCTTTTTTCTAATTGTTAAAATTATTATGTTTCAGATATTTTACATTACGATGCATTATTATTTCTACTTTTGGCTTATTTATGTTAAGTGTAAGAAACAAATTATTTTTCTCATTCCAAAACAATGTTTTCAGTGCGAGAACGTTTCACTTGCCTATGATCTTCAAGGTCCAAGTCTTGTTCTTGGTTTTCACTTTCACGCTTACCAGGATTCTTCTGATTTGACCACAGACCATCAGGACAACTTTGTAAATTGTTATTATTATTATTCAAATGCAGGCTGAAACCTACAGCAGAATCATGTTGATCAGGTAATGGCAGTTTTGCTGCTTCATTGATTTTGCAAGTTGACTCGGAAATCAAAAGAAGTTCTGAATTACAAATAGACTTAGTTTCTTGTTTTGATAGGCTGCTGTTCTTCTTAAACATATCTTTTGTTGGAATAAAACCATAAGAGAGTACAGAATCTGTATCTCCAGTTCTTACAGGAGAATTTATACTTTCACTGGTTAGTGCCAAATCTGTAACTCCATTTGATAATGGTGATGGAGAGGAAGCATAAGATGAGGAAAAGTCACAACAAGATGAACACTCTGAGCAAGTACTGTTGGTTGAACTACGTCGAGTGTCTGTAGAACTTCCTTTTTTCTTTCTACGCTGAGCAAGGGGAGCTGCTGAAACATCTTGGAGGTGAAATCCTCCTCGAGCTGCCAAATGAAATGCGTCGAAAGTGGCTTTGATTGCACACTCTGCTGCTCGTGGAGAGGAGGAAGAACTGAGAACATCTGGGGTCATGAGAGGTGCAGCAGAATAAATTCCTGGATTAAGTCCCTGGACCCATGAGTGATATTGGAGCTCAGCCATGGTCAGTCGTTGCTTTGGGTCAACAGTTAGTAGACCTTTAATGACATCTTTAGCTTGCTGAGAGACTACATTCCAAGCTGGACCAGAGAAAGAAAATTCTCCTTCTCTGATCTTCTGAACAATTGTTTCTGTACTTGCTTCTTGACTGTAAGATTGAAAGGGGGTCTTTCCTGATAACATTGTGTACTAGATAAGCCAGACAAAAATTACAAATTATATATTAGAGACCACTGTTAATAAATGAGGTTTAGACAGTATATTTTTGCACAGGCCAAAAAATTAACAAATTTATAACCTCTTTGTTCTAAAAATTTTTTAAGTAGAAAACTTTATTTTCAGATCTTATAGTCAATGATTATGTCAAATTTATTAAAGGTAAACAAAAAGGTACAGAAAAACTAACAAGGTTACATTAAATGTTTATCTCTATTGCCATGGGTATCCTTTGCTGCACATTCAAAATTTTATTAAACTACTTTTTGTTTATGTTCTATCAATTAGAATAGCCTAAAATCTTAGCTAATAATCCATATTTTAATAGTATATAAGTTTTAAGTTCTTAATTCTACAAGGCAACATTACGAAAAATCCTGAATTTCCCACACTGTGACACACGACACATTTTCTCAAGGCATCTTGTCTCCTTTATTTTATCTACCACCCCTTGTAAAAGTACAACACGTAAATTACTCACCATAAAATCATCATTGCTCCAACAAAGCATATTTTTTTATAGTCTTCAATTTTGTTTGGTTACAGAGCTACCAAACAGAAAATTACCCCCCCCCCCCTCCTGCCACATCCTCTCTTTCAAGATTTGTTAATAATTCTCTCCACTTTTAATTATATATTACCTATAACAAATAGAAAGTCAAGGTTTTCATCTATCAGATGACATATTGTATAAGGTTAGGTCATGAATGGTTAAATATCAAGAGTACCAACATCATTCCTGCTAGAAAGTTAATGTCTAGCTTAGATGAAAAAAATCTAAACTATCCTTTTTTTTTTCTTTCTAGAATGACTTCAAATTGTAAC